GAGACATATTAGGAAAAATTACTCAGTCTGGTTTTTCCCTATCTTGCCTTACATACCTGGTGGAATGTTATTTACAGTTTGATTTTCCCTCTTGTTCATCCATGTTCTTTCCTATGTAGAATGTTATTTATAATTAAATACTACTTATGAGCTACAAAGTTATTTTTAACTTGACATTTTGAATTATGCACTTTATTCTGTTCTTGTATCTGTTTATAAAATTTGCATTTTGAGAAATTTCAACCTAAAATTAAACACACCCTCTAACATCAAGCTTGATTCTAATAAATGTGAACACTCCTGTGTTCTACTATTTTGGACAGCCTGCCATTTGAATGTACTGCAGTAAACATCACTTCTGAAAGTGGGTAATGCGATTAACCTTACGCGCCTGTGTTTATTTTTCCTGTCACAGGTAGAGTTGGCTTTGTGGGACACAGCTGGGCAGGAAGATTATGATCGCTTGAGGCCCCTCTCCTACCCGGACACCGATGTTATACTGATGTGTTTCTCCATTGACAGCCCTGATAGTTTAGGTGAGTAGCCCAGCAGCTTGACGTTTGTCGCTGCCTGTGTGCCTGGCCAACACCTGGTTTCTCAGTCCTTTCTGGTCATCAGGTGGCCGAAAAGCAGACATGAGCTTCAGGGAAGGAATCATCAATGGCCAGAGTTCTAGAGCCTTGCGTCTGTAGAGCTTGGGCCCTGGCTGGGTCCTTTTCAGCCTGGGTCTCCCATGGCTGCCATGTGTCCACTTATAAAGTAGGTGGATTCCAAATACAAAGCCATCTTTTGGACTGAGACTTGGGGAAGTCTTTTTTGGGGGGTACCCGTACCTTTTTTCAGTACTTCATATGGAGCCTGATGCTTCCTTACATGTAGACTAGTGACTTGCTATTTCCCAGTAGTGTTTTTAAAGCACTATTTTAGCCCTTTTCTAAAGTGTCTTAGCTAATAGAGAGAGACTTGAACCTGTCCATTCTACTAGTTCAGTTGGCCACATGTTTCAGAAGCTACTTTACTTCAGAAAGACCGAATAATGCTGACCTCACACTCTGCAAAACAAGGCACCAAGGCCTTATAAAGAGTGAACAGTTAACTTCTAAAATAGTCTCAAACTACAAACAGTACCATTTAAATGATCATCATACTAAGTACTTTGTATGCATTTACTCAAATTACCCTATGTAAGGTAGATATTACTGTTACCCCATTTTATAAAATTATCCCTGACATTGATGCGCCCAAGGTGTGGTTTTGGGAGGTTGAACCCAGGCCGCTCATCCACCATGATGTACATACAACTTCACCAGATGAGTACAGTATTGGCAAGAAGCAACAGCTGGTTATCACTCATTTTCACAAATCACTCTTGAGCCATTTGAAATTCCAGTAGCCCACAGGGTGGGGGGCATGCTGAGGGTCCATGAGCAAGGTGTCGAGAGAACATGTGAACTCTGGGCCAGCTGTAGTCCCAGAATAGGGACCCCCTTCTGTAAGCTGTGGTCAGAATCACCTGCCAGCAGTGACAGGTAGGGAGCCTCCCTCCGTGGGGCAGGTGGCACCATTGTGGAGCCATCCTGTGTTCAGGATCCTTGGCTGCTCCAGGGCCTTTACCTGGGCTCCACCTCCAGAGGAGCTGCACTCCTTCGTGGGACTGAGAAGCCAGTGGTTCTGTGCTTAAGGGAAGGGTTAGATCTGAAATAATTTCTCTGCAATTTAATTAGGGGTCTTAGAGAGTCTTCAAGATAGAATTGTATGTATCCCTAAGTTGTGTGCATTTCACTTCTTTCAGAAAACATCCCAGAAAAATGGACTCCTGAAGTCAAGCATTTCTGTCCCAACGTGCCCATCATCCTGGTTGGGAACAAGAAGGATCTTCGGAATGATGAGCACACAAGGCGGGAGCTAGCCAAGATGAAGCAGGCATGGTTGGGGCAGGGTTCTGTCTTCCTGTAGCATTTTGGAACCTGAAGGGCCCAAGCGTGGAGGGTCAGGGAGTCCAGCAGAAACCCTCACAGCCCAGGCTGTTTCAGAGTCGCGGAAGTCTCTCTGTCCATCTGGCTCTCATTGACTGGGGTTTAGTCATAGGAGATGGAACCTCTCCTGTGAGGTCGTGCTGTGCCCCCAAAGATTGCCTGCCTGAGAAGGGACCATCACAGCAGTAGTCAATGCTCCAGATACAGGAACTTTATCAGGCTCTTGATTTCCCTCTGTAGTTATTACCTTGATATATATGTGAGGCCAAAGATAAATTGGTGGCAACTGAAGGACTGGGAAATTCTGAGGGCAGGCAGTCCAGACAGATCCCTGATGCCTTTATAAAAGTGATCCTGGAGGTGGCATCCTAGCTTCCTAGAAGCCAGGTGGCCCAGTGGCAGGGCTTCCCCATTGCAGGAGGAGTGCCTTGAGGTCTTCAGCCCAGGTTCTCCCACTGAAGTGTCTCTGTCTGAATGTCAAGGTCAGGATTTAGTTCCTTCCATGGGCATTCAGTCCTCTGCGAAGCTAACTACAGAAAGACCCAAGGGCTTACTCGGGATTGACAGCTTGCCCTTCGCTCCCTCTTTAACCCACCGGGACTTCTCTGACCTCTCCTTTCTCTTTACTTCCCAGAGAAGAGCTTGTTTGATTTGTTTGATAGGGATATACTGGGGTAGGAGTCACTGCACATGAGTTTACATAGAACTCAAACCTGGGGGGTGTTAGTAGCTTTTAAAAGAAGTCTTTTAGCTGAATTTGAATACTCGACACTTATTCACTGTATGTATTCTATGTAAACACTTAACTGAATGCTCTTTTCTCTTTGCTTGCTAGGAGCCGGTAAAACCGGAAGAAGGCAGAGATATGGCAAACAGGATTGGCGCTTTTGGGTACATGGAGTGTTCAGCAAAAACCAAAGATGGAGTGAGGGAGGTTTTTGAAATGGCCACGAGAGCTGCCCTGCAAGCCAGACGTGGAAAGAAAAAATCTGGGTGCCTTGTCTTGTGAAACCCTGCTGCAAGCACAGCCCTCATGCGGTTAATTTTGAAGTGCTGTTTATTAATCTTAGTGTATGATTACTGGCCTTTTTCATTTATCTATAATTTACCTAAGATTACAAATCAGAAGTCATCTTGCTACCAGTATTTAGAAGCCAACCATGATTATTAATGATGTCCAACCCACCTGACCCACTGGGCTCCTTCTGACACTGCGCTAACAGCCCTCCTCTGCACTCCACCTGACACACCAGGCACTAATTCAAGGAATTTCTTAACTTCTTGCTTCTTTCTAGAAAGAGAAACGGTAACTTTTGTGAATTAGGCTGTAACTACTTCATAACTAACAAGTCTTGCCTATCATCTCTCAGCTGCAAAGTACTCTGGTGAGTCACCACTTCAGAGCTTTACTCCTTAACAGATTCCATTGGCATAGCTCTGGAGTGGCCATCTAGTTTTTTCAAAATACGTTGAGCCACAAAGGCCCAAGTCCATGCAGCTGTGGCAAAGTTACAGTTCTGTGGTTTCATGTTAGTTACCTTATAGTTACTGTGTAATTAGTGCCACTTAATGTATGTTACCAAAAATAAATATATCTACCCCAGACTAGATGTAGTATTTTTTGTATAATTGGATTTCCTAATACTGATATTTGTCATCCCCACAGAAAGTGTATTGGTTTTTTAAAAAAGAAAAGTGTATTTGAAAATAAAATCAGATGGAAAATTCATTTTTAAAATTCCCGCTTTGTCAGTTTCTCTGATAAAAGATGGCCATATCCTGTTTTCGAACCCACATATCCCAGTACCCCTCCCCAGAGCTGGGCTAAGTAAATAGGAATTTGGTTTCATGCCGGAGGCACTCAGACACTTCCAAAGGTGGCACAGACCTGTCTCCTGGACTGCAGGGTCAGCCTCTAGTTCACAGTGCTTTCTCCTCACTGTATCCAGGTTCCCTCCCAGAGGAGCCACCAATTCTCATGGGTGGCACTCGGTTTCTCTCTTCTCTCCAGCTGACTAAACTTTTTTTCTGTACCAGTTAATTTTTCCAACTAATAGAATAAAGGCAGTTTTCTAAACTTCCTGTATCCTGGTGTTTGTGTTTCTCTCTCCTGGGCTGGGAGAAGGAGGATGGATTCAGTCTAGCTGGCTTTGAAAGGTTCCTTCAGAGTGCCAAGTACCAGCTTGCCCACCACCCCATTCCCCAAACTGGCACTAACCTGGCTCCTCCTAAGAACATGGAAACAATTATCTTTGTCCCATTCAAGTTCAGAGTGGGATGGGGTGGGAAATGCAGTGTGAGACAGGAGGGGTGGTCCCAGCAGTCATTCTGCACAAATCAGGATTTTTTTTTTTCTTCTTACTCCCTGTCCACTTTGTGTCTTACTTCCAGGACTCAGCTCCAGATGAAGTTGACTAGGTATGGAGGATAGCCTGAAATCCGGCTGGGGCAGTGCCGCAGGGGGGTGTATAAGTAGGAGGGAGACCAGAGGCTTGGACGTGAACATGCTCCAGGCAGCCCTACAGTGCAGGGGAAATGAGTTAGAGCTGGCTTTTGGAGCCTGAGCCCTGGCTACTCATAGCATTACATACCCTCATCCAACTTAGCCGACCTAGAACCATGGAGCCTCATTGCAGAACTTGCGTGGCAGCTGCTGCCAACTGCACCACCACCGCAAGTCACAACTCGCTCTGCACCTGGTGATAATAGGGCGCATACTTCAAGAATAGTAATATGGCATCTGCTGGGAGTGTTCTGTGGCCAGGAGCAGCGCCCACTGCTGTCTCCCGCCTGGCTCCAACTCCTAACAAAAAAAACCTTTGAGACCTTGGCTTGCGCTGTGCGGGATAACGGGCGGCTGCAACAGGCCTGGTTGAACCAGACATGTCAGCGGTTCCGCCCGGTTTGGGCGGTGCCCGCATCCGGCCAGACCGCACCCTCCCGCCTCCCTGGTCACCCGCTAAGGGAGGGCGGAGGCCGGATGAGGCGGGACCGAGGGGGAGGAGCAGCCGGAAAAGTACCTTCACCACATGACCCCATCGCCCGCCTATTAAAAGGAGGCCACCCCGGTCCCTCTTTTGTCTGGTCCCCAGCGCTACCTTCTCCGGACCCTACGCCATGTGCGCCGCTCAGCTAGCGGCGGCTGCGCGAGCTGCCACGGCCCCGCTCTCTGTGTATGCCTTCTCCGCGCGCCCGCTGGCCGGCGGGGAGCCTGTGAACCTGGACTCCCTGCGGGGCAAGGTGCTGCTCATTGAGAATGTGGCCTCTCTCTGAGGCACAACGGTCCGGGACTACACCCAGATGAACGAGTTGCAGCGGCGCCTGGGGCCCCGGGGCCTGGTAGTGCTGGGTTTCCCGTGCAACCAGTTCGGACATCAGGTACGCGGGGCGGGGCGGAGCGGGGTGGGCGTGCAGCCGGGGTTGGGAGTGCCAAGGGGCGGCCCATCGGCCCGCATCCCTCCGGCGCTAGTCCCGGCTGAGATCAGCTCCAACCCGGAGTTGTGCAAGAAGGGCTAAGAGCCTGGTGACTCATCCAAAAACCCCTTGTTTGCGGTCAGAAGGTTTCCCTCCTTGCGGCCCTGGGTCCCAGCTGCTTTTCCCTCCTGCAGGAGAACGCCAAGAACGAAGAAATCCTGAATTGCCTCAAGTACGTCCGACCTGGCGGCGGGTTCGAGCCTAACTTCACGCTCTTCGAGAAGTGCGAGGTGAATGGTGCTCAGGCGCACCCTCTTTTCGCTTTCTTGCGGGAGACTCTGCCCGCGCCCAGTGACGACACCACTGCGCTCATGACCGATCCCAAGTTCATCACCTGGTCTCCGGTATGCCGCAACGACATTGCCTGGAACTTCGAAAAGTTCCTGGTGGGCCCGGATGGCGTGCCTGTGCGCAGGTACAGCCGCCGCTTTCCCACCATCGATATCGAGCCTGACATCGAAGCCCTGCTGTCCCAGGGGCCCAGCTGTGCCTAAGGTGACTCTCCTGGCCTTGCTGCTTGGCGGTCACAGCGCTTCCCTCTGGGGATTTCATCCATGATGGTGTTTCCTCTAAACCTGCATGGAGAAACGCCTGATGTCCAGGAAAATCCCCGAGATGGGCGCTGGTCCTGTCCATCCCAGCCTCCCCCTCCCACACCACTGCTCTTCACAATAAATGTTGGGTGTCAGCAGAACTGTGTGTCTTGTGTCAGTGTCAGCCGAGAACACCTTCCCTACTAACCCCATTGTCATAGGGCTGGGAGCTTAAGCCGCCACTCTTCAGCTCTTAGCCTAGCCAAGCCTGAACTTTCTACCTTTTGTCTGCAGTGTGTGGAATCCACACTTTCCTCTGTGGGAAGCCCGGGCCAGTGTTTCTCCCTCTGCCAGGACGTGCAGTAAGGTCTTCCTAAGACCCTGGTAGAAGGGCAAGTCCTTATTCTAAAAAGAGGAAGACAAGTCAAGGGCTGATTGCCTAACCCCAGTAGAAGGCCTCTCCTTTCTGAATATTTGCTGGGTGTGAAGTGACCTTCACAAAAAAAGAACACCATGGGCCCCCACTCACATTGAGCCTGTGGCTTCTCCAAATGTTAAGCCCACCCAAGCTTATTTACAGATGGAAGCTCATGCAACATTACAAATTCTTTTCCCATTACTTTGCTAGATCATTGTATATTGCTACCCAGCGCTTAGATTTCTCCAACGCTGTCCTTACTGGTTTCTGCCTCATGTATTCAGAGTAAGAAGAGTGTGTGTACACTGGCCCTCTGACTATACCCTGCATGGCACTTGGCAGTTGCAATTGCATGGTCAGGCCCAGAGTAGTGGTATATCTTGGAGGCCAGCAGCTGCTGCTTGGGTGTGGCTCAGGTCCAACCTCACCATCTGTTGGCCCTGCTGTCGATAGTCTTCCCTGGCAGACCTGGAACCACTTCCTATCACAGTATGAAGGACTCTTCAGGGCTTGGATGTAGCTTCTGCTTGGGCAGACAAGGACCCAGATACATGTTCGCAGTGTCGACTGGGCCAAAGGTTCCGGGGTCCCAGTGTTCATGCTCAAGTTGGTGGCTCAAGGCCCTTCAGTGTCTGAACCAACTCTCAGAACTTTTCCTCCAGCGGTAAGCAGGAATCTGCTGCCACCTTCCCACCCCTGTCGGCCCTTAAATTGTTAAGGAATGAAGGGCCCTCTGCACCTGTTCTAGCTCTCCTCCATCATAACTCCTACACAGGCCTGCCTCCCTCTGGCTACAAGGCCTCCCCATCTCAGCTTTGAAATCCCCTCTGAGGTGACCAAGGCAGAGCTGCCTGTTCCCCTTTGTACCCCACCCCACGTGTACCTCTCTCAAAACTCAGGAATCTTGATTGTATCTGTGAGTGACTGGTCTGCTTCCCCAGAGGGTGAAAGTCCAGGAGGTGGACTGTGACTGGCCTTGTCAGGGCCCACAGGGCCTGGCATGTGACATGAGTCAGCAAATGTTTGTCATTATGAAGAGAACAGGGCCTTCCCACTCTAACAGGGCCAGGGCCTTTTGGAGGTCATCTGTGGACCCCAGATCTGACTCCTGGAATGAAGAATGAGACCTATACATCTGGATGTATCTGTGTATACCCAGGCCACCTGTGACCTCCTTAAAACCCACATCTCTTCCCCAAAAGCCCTTTGCCCCCTTACTGCTCCGCTCATCACTCAGTCCTGTGCTACGGGCTCTGCTGGGTACCGGGGACACAGTTCTCAGGAAAGCAGAAAGACAACACATAGTAAAAGCATGTTTAGTTCTATGATGTAGTACGGGATACTTTGAAGGCCTGGCCACATGGAAGAAGTGACGGTGAAGCTGAGGAGAGGTCAATGAGAGTCACCTGAGGAACAAGCCAATGGAAGGTAGACGGGCAGTGAGCACAGTGTGTGAGGGCCTAAGTCGGGAAGGTGGCCTCATTGACAGTTGGACGACACGAGGGAAGCAGGTGTGGGGAGAAGGGGATGTGATCAGATTCAGATGTGCACGAGACATCCCAATGGAGGTTATTTAGGACAAGTGGTTACAAGAGGCTCAGAAAGGGAGTATGGATTGGAGACAAAGGTCTAACCTAGGGGACAGTCGGTAGCCATTGAAGAGGATGAGGTTACTTGGGGAAGAGTGGCAAGAAAAAGATCAGGGGGGGCCAGCCGAGTGGCGCGTTGGTTAAGAGCTGGCTTGGGACGCCAGAGGGCCCTGGTTCGGATCCCACATATGAGGACCAGTGATGCTGCCCTCCACAGCTAAGATGCTGAACAACAGCTCAACCTGGAACTGGGCTGCCATGAGTCACCGGCGACAGCATAGGCTGCAGCCCCTGCTGCAGTAGGCTGCCATGGGATACCGTGTGTAGCCAAGCAGCCAGCGTGAGCGGCCAGCAGCCGCAATGAGCAGCCGTCCAGAAGCCGGCGACTGATCTGCCTGGCCCAGGAAGAGCGCAATGATGGTGCCAACTTGGGCCAGTGAAGCGACATCCTCCACAACTAGACTGAAGAACAAAAGGACAGCAACTTCTCTGTTCCCCTTCCCCCGATTCCCCAGTGCTGTTCCCATCCCCCAATTTCCCGATTAAAAAAATCTTAAAAAAACAAAAAAAGATGTTACCAATTGCAAAAAAAAAAAGATCAGGGGGCCTAGGCCTAAGGCCTATGGATTCACAATCCTTCCAGGTCAGGTGGCATAGAGGCATAGCTGGGAGGAACAAGGATGGAGTCAAGGAGCTGGGGGAAGGGATATTCCATAAAGAATGTTCAGCTGGGTCAGGTGCTGTGGATTGTGTGTTCCTCAGAAAGTGTGGTTTCAGGGAGGCAGCTGAAGTTGAAGCCAGGGAGCCAAGTACAGATATGCCAGGTCCTGTCCCAGAAGCTACATAAATAGTGCTCAATGGGCACGTGGGTGCTTGTTAAAACTTTCCACAGCCCACCTCCAGAGATGCTCATGAGAATGTGGCGTCCTACTAAGTGATCTACAGCTATGCACAGAGAGATTTCCTGCTCCAACACGCCCCTTTCCTGTAAAGGGTCAGTGCGGCTCAGGCCACACACTCTGGTTAGGCTCCAGGATGGGAACCCCAAACTGACTCCAACTTCTTCCGCCCAGGCTGCCTGGTGACTCACCCCTCCTTGTCCACTTTTGCTTTGTTTATGCCTTGGGCTACCAGGAAAGGGATCTTCTGAGCTCCCAACATGGCTGACCCTGGCTGACGAAGATTCCTCCTCAGGCTCCAGGGTGCCTGCCTCCCTTAACCGAAAGTCCTTTCTAAACTCTCTCTTCTTCGGGAAGACTCAGAATACAGCCAGTTAACACTTCATCTTCCTCCCCAAGGAGCTGGATATCTTCTCCCAACACAGACAAACAAACACACACACACACACACACACACACACACACACACACACACACACACACTCTTACCCATACACATTCTTTATCATTCAACCATGCAACCGCTACTGGCCCCAACCTGCACCCAGCCCACCCCATTGTGAATCAGCCGCTCAGAAGAACTAGTAAAATGGGAGGGATCCCAGGGGGCCTGCCTGAGGTCCTGCCTTTGGGAGAAGTGGCTGCAGGACATTGCTGATGTGGGAGCAGCCTGTGGCATTTAGGCCACAAGAATTCTAAGAAGGGGGTGGGGTGGGCCCCCCCGCTATTACTCAACTAGGTTCAGAAACTTCCATTTTAGCAGTTCTTAAAGAAATGCTGTTTTGTTTTGCCTTTGTTTTCTTTTCTTAACACTAAATCTGATAAGATTATGTATATCAAATCACCACGATGTACACTTTAAATATTTTATAATTTTATTTGTTAAGTATTTATGCATCAACTTTTAAAAATCTGAGAAAATTTGGTCAGGAACTTGTTGCACAACTAGCCTTTTATCAGGTGACTTCCTTGTTCTGTTTCAATGTCAGTCCAAAAACATTTAAAGCAAAATTATTTTTAGAGAAGCATTCATGGCCTAATCAGCCTAATAAATCGCCTAAGTTTGGAGCAGTACTGAGTAAAAACTACTGGCTAAAAATTTCCCCAAGAGAACATAGCATAGATTTTGAAAGACTGGGCAAATTCCTGTCAGAGTGATACAGGATTTTTTGATGTGTGTGTACGTATGTTCCCAGGATTTGTGGTCTCACAGCACCGAAGAATGGAGACACAGACCAGAGAGGTAAATTTTGTAACAGAGGACAGTTTATTTATTTTTATTTATTTTTTTATTTTTTTCACAGGGCAGTTTATTAGAGTAGAAAATAACAGCTCTCAAAACGAGAGGGAGTCCCGACTGGGGTGCCCACTAGTTAGGGCAAAAGCTTTGGTTTTTATAGCTTTTGTTTGTTTGTTTTTAGCTGAGCCATCCTGCCACCTGTTGGCAGCTCAGCTCGGGCTGGGAATCGAGCCACTGTTGCTCAGAGCTCACACTCTTGAGCAAGCTCTTAACCAACTGAGCCACTCGGCCAGCCAACTAGTTCTTATGCCCTTTGTATGGCTGGAGAGAGGGGCTGGTTGGCGCCTTTTGGGACCAGGCCTATGCTGTTCAGCCTGGAGGAGGTGTTTTCTCCAAACTGCCTAATTTCCTTAGAGCTTAATCAGCTTAATCAATGTCTCTGCTCTGAGAGGAGCATGTTAGTGGAGACTGGCTTTGAAGAAAGGCCTCCTGACAGTCTTATGTTAAATGACCTCTTTGAAGATATGCATTCTACCTGGGAATCCTTGACTTGGAAAAAGAGGCCTTGCTCCTCCCCCACCTGGGCTTGTCACTCTGGTGAGCCCTGTGACTTAAATCTATCCATTAGCTAATAAAATTATTTCCCTGGCTTTGTTATGGTTTCCACTCTGATTCCCTCTACCGTGGCAATTTCCCTGACTGCCTATAATTTTCCTATCTCAAGAGTACTTTGAGGGCCGGCCGAGTGGCACATTGGTTAAGAGCTGGCTTGGGATGCCAGAGGGCCCCGGTTGGGATCCCACATATGAGGGCCAGTGACACTGCCCTCCACAGCTAAGATGGTGAACAACAGCTCAACCTGGAGCTGGGCTGCCGTGAGTC